AAAAAAAAAAAAAAAAAAAGGGTGCTGGAACTCACCTCTTGGTGTCAGTCACTCTACACACACATAAACATAATGGTTGCCGTTGGCAGTAAGCACTGAGCGCGCGACCACACGACCGATCCCAAGCTGAGCAGCATCCTGAGCCGAACAGCGCCCTCCCAAGCAGCGCTGACACACACGCAGCCCGCAGGCACTATTTTAATGCTGTTTGCTGCCGACCTGCTACGCCTGACAGGCGATTCACAATTGCATGGAAAAATACGTCAAAAAAAGGTGCCGGAACACTGTTCCGGTGTGTTCTATGACAAAAAAAAGCCCTGAGAAAAACAATTCATGATTGGTATTGACATTCAGAAACATCCAGGAACAAAAGAGCCCTGCTGGATCAGACCAAGAATCCATCTAGCCCAGCATTCTGTTCACACAGTGGCCAACCAGCTGCGCATCGGAAATTCACAGGCAGGGCATGAGTACACCACCACCCTCCCACCCATGTTCCCCAGCAACTGAACTACATAGACATACTGTCTGTGATACCAGAGATATCATATAGCTACTAGGACTATTAGCTGCTTCTAGACCACTCCATTCATTTAGGGCTTTATATGTTAATATGAGCACCTTGAAGTGGGCCCAGACTTCAACTGGTAGCCCATGTAATCAATAGAGAACAGGGATTATGTGTTTGTATCAACACATGCCAGTCAACAGACAGGTGGCCTGTTCTGTACCAACTGAACTTTCCAGACTGTTTTCAGAGACAGGCGCACATACAGAGTACTGCATAAATCTAAAAGTGAAGTTACCAGTGTGTGGATCACCATTACTAAAGGTTGTTTGTTCAGATGGGGTGCAGTTGATAAAAGGTGCTCCTAGCCACAGACACCACCAGGTATCCCAGGGACAATTCTGGGTCCAGCAACACCCCCAAACTCTGCATTCTGTTCTGCAGGGGGAATGCAACCCCATCCAGAAAAGGGCAGCTATCCTCCTCCTGGAATGAGGTTCCACCTATCAATGGCACCTTGTCTTGTCTGGATTAAGTTTCAATTTGCTGGCCCTCATCCAGTCCATCACCCCAGATAGGCACCAGTCCAGAGTTGAAACTGCCTCACCTGGTTCTGAGGTAAAATGAGAGGTAGAGCTGAGTGTACTGATGACACTTCAGCCCAAACCTCCAGATGACCTCTCTGAGCAGTTCCATGTAGATGGGGGATAGCATGGGGGATAGGATAGAACCCTGTGGCACACCATGGCATAACTGCCAGCGGGCCCAGGTGCTATCTCACAGTGACACCATCTGGGATCAATCAGTTAGGTAGGAACAGAACCACTGCAGAGCAGTGCTTCCAACTCTTAGCCCAGCCAGCCTGGCATTATGAGAAAGGAAGAAGAATGTCTCTGTATCCACCTTCTTTGGACAATACACACTTCTGTATATATCTAGCATGACTTCCCATTTTTCTAAACTGGCTAAGAAAGTATTTGGGATGCACAGATTCTGGGGAAAAGTTAGGTACATATGCCTTCCCAAACCCTGCTCCCAATAGGGTTGACCTCTTTGGCAGTAGTGTTCTGCCAATAAACATAAAGTGTTTTTCTATGTGTGTGCATATACTGTGGGCCAGGGTGGGGGTAGGGAATGGACCCAGACCTCCTAAGGTGGCCCACTCTTGATTTACCAGAACAGGTATGTACAGTGGGCAGGGAACACCACTCTTGTATACCATGACATATCAGAAAGAGATCAGGCAAGAGTATTTCCCAAACCCAGTCACAGAATAGCTACTTTCTCTGGATAGCCTAAAAAGAAGAGGATTCTTTTCTAGCCCTTTCCTTGTTTGAATGGAGTACTGGCTCCCTAACAGTCCTCCTTCTTTATTTAAAAAGTTGGTTCAGAAAGAAATAAAAGTTTTGAAAACAGGAAGGAGATTGAATTAATTAGGGTTTTAAAATTTTTAGCCGAGAATGCACTGGGGGTTTTTTAATGATTTTTTTAATTGTCATATTATCATTATTTATGTATGTATTTATGTATGCTTTGTGAGCCGCCCTGAGGCTTTGTTGCGATGGGGGTGGCATAGAAATGTTTTAAATAAATACTCCAAACAATTTTTAACAGTGAAAAATAAACTGTATAGGCCTGAAGTTGTTTATGCACTACAAAAGTTTGAGTGAAATAAACAATCAAGTTTTTAGCCCTCTTGTTTAGGCCAAATGTCCCTCTAAGTAACGCCAAGAATTGAACACAAATTTAGTTGCAAGTATTAAGCTGCTGCTGAATAATCCAGGGAACCTGTTGATGTGAACGCTGTAGGATCTGGCCCATTATGTTTTCTCTGCTAAAACTTTTTTACCTTGCAGCTGCATATGAAAGTAATGAACACTTCAGGAAATGTATTTGGAAATGCATATTTCATAAGCGGGTTTTGCAGTACTTTTAAACCAGTGCTTTGACTCTATTTGTTTTAAAATTGAATAACACAAAGTAAATCACTAACGTCCATTTAGAAACCCAGTAGCTGCTCTAAACATGCTGATACTGTACAAGTAGATATTTTATATTCTTCTGTAAGTGATCTTAGCAGCACTGTGGAGAGGTCTACCCTCTCATCTGCTCACAAGGATGCAATTTAAGTATTAAGAGCTACTTATATTTTCCCATAACTGTGTATCAGAGACGCTTGTGGTGCTCATTTTTCTTCTTATTGTAAGGGTGTAACAGAGGAGAATGTTATGCAAGACCTCCACAGTGATTTTAATGGACAAACAGAATCATTTCTTGAACCTGGAGTTCTTACTGCATTTTACCCAAGGCAGACAGACAAACAACAAGGAAGCAAGTTAAAGGGAGGGGGAATGACAATTGTTGCTCAGGTAAACACAGAGGGAGAGGGGAAATGTCTCAAGGTGCTTCTGTTCATTTGGTCTTAACTTTTTATGAATAAGCAAAGATGAAATAATAATTTTAAGGATGGCAATACTATTGAGAATACTATAATGTAAGAGCGTTATTTAAGATGAAGCTAAACTGAAGAGGTTTAAGCATAATGCTCCCTGATCAGTTTTTTTAAATACCGTAGCAGAACAAACTTCCTTTAAGACAGTCAATTTGGAAAGTAAACAAGTTAATCTATATAATATATGGCTGGACATAGAAAATGTCATGCTTTCATTTTAGTCAATGAATGATAGTATATTATCCATCACAGGAGAATTAGAGAGGCTTCACATGGCGGTTAGTGAGAACATGTCATACAGGAAACATTAAAAGGTTCCAATCCACTGAGTCAGCTGTGAAAAAGCCAGGTAAACACTTTAGAAAAGGGCTCTTGAAGTGTTTATCCTGACTATGAAGTCTCAGTAAGGGCTTCCATTACACATGATTTACAGCTAAGGTATTCCAAAGGAATAAATATTGTTGCAGAGTATGGAATATAAACTGTGGAACCATAGTGCTTCTATTTGAGAATTTAAAAAATAAGTTTAAAGATGCATGTTTTTCTGTTTAATTCACAGTATTATACTCTTTTTCAAACATTTCAGTGACTCAAGGGAAAAGCAGATAAAACTTAAAAAAAAAGGAATCTCAGCAGATAATACTTTTCTATGGGTAATGACAAGTGCCAACTGTCTGCAATCTTGACCACCTCCTTCTATTTTACTAAGCAAAGGATAAAGCTTGCTTATTTTAATGCTTCAATGTTAGCACATCTGAAGGCATTACTTGCATTTAACTGTCAAACATTGTTTGCTGCTGCTCATGCATTTTAAAATTATAACTGTACTCTCAGAGAGTGCTTATGGGTTCTGCTCCTTTTAAAGTGACTGATAGTTGAATGGCTAGCATTCTGGCCATCCACTTATATCATCCTTACAAATATCCAGCTCCACTTTAGGAACAAGAAATGTCATTTGCACTTTATGAAACACATAATTGTGAAACCATTTTCTGCTAAACAATTGCTCTTGGATGAGGAACGTTGAATTCACACCTCAGTTTGCTTATGAACTTACTGCATAGACTTGGACAAACTGCTATCACCTGATTGTTCCAATTCTGTAAAATGGTAATTGGGTTTTTTTGTGAGGATTGAAGAAATATAGAAAATATATCCAGTCATTGTGACAAATGGTATGCTTACACTATCAACCTTGTGAGATAAGAGAAACTGCAAGACACCATTTGCTTATATTCCATAGAGGTGGACTGCCTCACCCCATAACTATATGGAGTGGATATATATAGGAATCCAGATTATGGAACCCTAACCCTTTCCAGGACTTCGTCTGAATCCTTTGGAACCCGTGTGTTTTCCAAGATGTCTAGTTGTGCTAGGTAAAGTTAGCAAATAACTAAATCAAGATCTGTTTCCAACTGAGTATAATTTTCAAGATCCACACAAAGAGAATAGGTTGAGAGGCAGTGTGTATGTGAAGCAAAGAATCAATTTAGGATGAGTAGAAATGCAGATTCTAGATGGCTGTGGTTGCTTAGCCATGTCTCTTGTCCTAGCAGAGGTGGGGAAAGTTAGATTCATGATAGTCAAACTACAGCATGAGGAGGGCAAATTGAAGATTTTAAAAAAGATGGCATGGATTAACAATTCACTTTGTACAAAGGGTCAAAAGTTGCATTAAAAGTCAGATGTTCATTTTAAGAAATATATGAATCATGATTTAGCATCAGACACTCTTAACTTTGAAGGGAAATATGCATATTTGGCTCTATTACATCCATTAGTAGCTTTATCACTGGTGTCAGTAGGCTGAAGGTTGTAACCACTTCTATTCATTATAGTCAGGTGGGATAACTGGAATTTCTTCCTAACATAGGTATATTAACACTATTAATATTTATTTATTTATTCATGAAAGAAACATGAATTAAAATTACAAAACAAAATTCTCGATGATTCTGGAAATCATACTGTATTGCTTTTGACTGGTACATGGTACTATTTATATTATTCCTTGGCTCAGTTGTAGGCTGTACTTACCCAGTGCAGTAAGTCCTTCAGATATTGAAGTGAATATATACATTAGTACATGAGGCTCCAAACTGGTGATGAAACTCATATGGTCCTGAGTGAGACATTCCAGGAGTGGGTAATAAGACTGGCTTAATTTTCGATATTGCTTAGAATAAAAAGAAGGAAAATAGAAAAAAATATCTAAAAATTATTGTATTAAAATACTTTGATGCCTGCAAAAGTAGCCCCAATATATTCCAAACTATCTATAGAATTAAATTCCTTTTAACATAAAAATAGCCAAAAGATGCATTATAGCCTATTTTTAATGATATCAACCAAACTAACAGGTATAAATACACATTTTGCAACCTCTATTAATTATACACTCAGACACACATCAGATTATTTTCCTGTTGTACTGATTATAGAAACAGGGTTTAGCTGTGAAAATTTACCCACTAGAAATCTATAAATCGAAGACCAAAATTGTGGCATACACAGAATCCTGTTTGTATATTTTTCCTGTTACAAAATTCACAAACATGCATGTGTGTGTGTGTGTGTAGGGGGGGGGGACAGGGGAAGGAAGGAGGGAAGAAACTGAGTAAAAGAAATTACAAAACTGAAAATGCGGAAATGGGCCCCTGTGACAGACTATGAGCACATCCGGCTGAATGCAGTTACACTCCTTCGCACTGTCAGAAGCCCTGGGCATCCCTCCCTGCTCTGAATTTTGTAGCCCGGGCATACTTGTGCTTCTCAACTAGTCGGAAGCCTCCACAACATTGCGTCTAAGAATTTGCCAGTTGTTAAGTACAACTTTTCAAAATTCCCAACATCCATGTCTCTTCTCGTTCATTCAGCGTGGAAACTCTTGGGCCAAACTACTGTAACTCAACTGTTCCTCCCCTTTTGTTTGGCATATGCAGAGCAGCTGTGCCTCAAAGAAACATTCAGCTAAAAAATTCATGTACTACTTGTGGGGGCAAGTCACATTTTCCCATATATGCATGCATACATATGAAAAGGCTCCTTGCAGAGTACATGCAGATCAGATTACAGAATTAAAAGTTGCTACTGCAAAAGACTATTTATACTTTCCCTTTTAATAGGATAGCACATCCGTGCTCTTTACTCTGGTTGGACATATAGCACACTTGCCTTCATTTTCCCAAAACTGTGATTCTTTTTGTTCAGGAGGAGTTCTATAAATCAAGATACAGCCAAGAAAACTAGATGAAGTTCACTGTTATGCACTTCTGTACTGGAAAAAAGCCTCATTTGATTCAGTGTAAAGTCTTAATGACGGTAGAATTTTTCTTTCTCACTTGCCAGGTAGTGGACTGTGCTATCATTCCTACTAAAGCCAATCCATATGACCAGGTTCCAGAGGAGAACAGAAGTGCTATTTTGGAAACTATGCTCCAGATTTCCCAAATAAATGGTTTCCCATGTACTCTGTTACAAAAAAAGTGCCATGGAAGCTAAGCAAAATTAAACTGACACCATGAAAAATAATTGTCCTGCCATTTGAGGGTTATTATGGATATACAAGCTAATTTTGGCCAGCCCCCTCTTATATTGATGACATATTTTAAATATTCTGAAGTGCATGTTCATCATTTCAATTAATGGAAATATTCATGAAATTTTTGACTGCAAGAATGGAAACAGATGCAAGTAGCTGAGACTAAAAAGAAGTATGTTTGAGCTGTTCTAGATCCCCCTCTCTCATTTTAAGCCTGTGGTGGTGATTTTGTATTTTGCATAAAGACTCCCAAGATGAATAATTTCTTACTAGCAAGTCACTGTGGGATACTGAGAGCAGCATTTTGACAAAGGCCTGAAGTACATTGTCAAAGTGGTTGTCCCCATACAACTTGAAGACGCCAAAGCTGACATAATTTCCACACAAGGCAGATTTGAGTGCAGAATAACAGATGGAAATACCCTTGAGTTTCAGTGGATAAACTTGATCTTTTGACAGAGTCCCAAGGGATAAGATCTGATTGCCTGTTTGCAAGAGGGGGAAAAAGGGGAGAGATAAATTGACATAAGTAACTGAAAATCTTAGTAACTGTGTCACTTAGCATTTCACATCACAATTTTTATTAGTATTTCTATATTCTTTAAAATTTATAATACACAGTAGCAATCACTATATTTAAAAAGTATTCCCATAATCCATTTCAACATAATGTATAATTGTCCCCAATAAGGCAGCAGCACCAACAATGACTTTGTTCCGTATGAAGGGGCCTGATACCACATTCCAGAGCTTTCACATACTAGAAAATAATAAGTAATCCTAAATTGAACATAAACAAAGATGCTTCATTACTACAGCTATACTACTGTACCAAACTAGAAGGATGAAGCATTGGTTTACAATGCTTTGCAAGGATCATAAGAACATAAGATCCATGCTGGTTCAGATGACAAATTCTTATAGTAGCCAGTTGCCTCATTAAAAGGAAGTCATCCAACTTATACATTTCCTCAGGAACACTGAGGAAACAGTGCCTTCAAAACACTGGGTGATATACAGACTTGTCCAATCCAAGGGTGCTTTTGATGAATAAAGCCTTCAACCTGAAATGCTGTCCTATGCACTATGCATCCACTGACCTACCAATACAGCTGACAAAAACTCATGATGGTAGAGCATGGCATACGGGCCATCCTTCCACAGCCTACCTGCTTACCAGGGGATTCAGTCTACTGGTGTTAAAATCTGAACAAATATACTACTTTGATAACACAAACCTGTGCTTGCCTTTGCAAGGCTTCTCATCTCCTTGGAAAACACAAAGGACTCAGCAGGTGTTATAGACACCATCTACTAATTGCATGATTTCCTTTTAATGTGACAGCTGGCACAAACAAGTGTAATACCTTGTACTGTGCCTTCCACTAGCTGTGTCATAACGTTGACACTCTTCTGGATATTGTAAGGAAAAGAAAAAGAAAGAAAGGCAGCACCTCCAATAAGCTATGCTTATGCGACACAGAGGCGATCTTAACAATGGGCAAAACTGGAGTGATTGTCAGGGGGAAAAATGATTCAAATGAAACATGCACACAATTTCAAGTGAACTTACTTTTCTTTGAACAGCATATAGTCACAGGTTTGACCAGCACAAAACAAGACCATTGTTTAAACCAAGCTGCCATGTTTAAAAGTCTCTTTAAAAGGTAAATAGGAATTAGTGTAGTATTGAAATATGGAGTAACTTATCACTTCCTACATCTATGAACATCTGTCTTCAACATGTCGATGCTAGGAGCACACAATACAAAGGAGCTAGGGATAGTAACTGGGCACAAAATCGGTTCCATTATTAAAAAATGGGCAATGGATTAAAAAATTAATAATATGTATTGCACAACAAAGAACTTAACTTTTTTTTTAAAAAAAAGATGCACTATTTTATTAAGTTGCTAGGCTGGAATGGATTACAACACTAAGCTTTACACAATAGATGTTCTAGAAGCAATTTAAAGCTCATTAGAAATAATGTCCCTGGCTACTGGAAAATGTGGTAAAATGTAATCCTCATCCAAATGTTACCTGGGCTATGAGAACAGGAAATTGTTCTGTGCTACTGTGGCTAACCTTGATGTTGACCCTGAACAGTAACTGCTAGAACAGCTGAAAGCTGCAACAAAATTAAAAACTTACATCAAAGTATATCATGACAGAATGTAGATAAATAAAATACAGCATATTGAAAATATTATTTTTCTGTCAGTCTTCCATAAGGATGAGGTAGAAGACTTACTAAGAAAACAAGGATTCTATTCACAAACACTAGAGCAAGACATATACTGAGGTCTAGAACAAATATTTTTTCAGCTTCTTGTGCCGATATTTAGCACATCTGAATTTATTATATCTATATACCAGCAAAGCCAGAGCTTTCAAGTAGCCTAAACTCTTATGAGACACACCTAGAAACCAGTTTGGTGCAGGGCCGGGTTGGACACAAGGTAAATGGCAGCTTATCAGTGGTCCAACTGGAGCCTGCCAGTTGCTGAGGTTTTTGAAAAAAATGCTGAAATAGAGTGAACTCTGACATGACAGCACTTTTCAAAGCACATACTCAAGCTTATTTATTCCAGACAAGTAATGCTCCACTAAAGATCCTTTTTTAAAATTTAAGACACATGAGTGGACACTGGAATTATAGTTTTGAAAAGAGAGTCCATAACACATTTGAAACCAACCCACCTGTGGCGTGAACACCTTCCACCACTGAGACATGTGTCCAGTTTTGCCAGAGTTTAACCATGCTGTAACAACTTCCTGTGTAGGCTACTATAATACAATGTGTGTAGCGAGCTACCTTTGAAGACAACCTTGCAACTGCAATTAGTGCAGAATACTGCTGTGAGGTTACTAAATAGGACCGGATGTTGGGGACATCTCTTACTAATAATAAAATCGATCTAATTAAGTGACAACAATGAAGTAAATTGTTAACTTTACTGAAGAAGAAACAGAACAACAAGAGAATCATTACCACAACAGAACTGGTGAATACATAACAAAATTGGCAGAAGTGCAGTGCCCTGTTGCATACTGCCCATTATATGTGAGAACACTGCCGTTATTATATAAATATAACATTTCCTTGGTTATTAACACAGAGAAATTTGCCATAATGTGTTAACACAACTAAAATAAAGTGCTCTGATTAGTATGAACAAAAAGGATAGTTCTAGTCAGTTCAGAACAGTGAAACAGCTTGACCAGATCTCTGAGGAAACAGAATCTAACTAATAATTCTGGAAATCTGAGAGATTATACCCATTCCTTCAGGTAGGATAGCAACATTGGAAAGTATGAATCTGAAAACTTCCCCTCAGACACGGAGAAAGTATAACTGGAAGCAGGAACTCATTCAAGAAGGTAGAGCACTCCCACCCTACACACAGCAACAAAAAGAGGTTTCTTCCCTTAACTGGCAAGGAATCTGAGCTCTGCACCAGTGCTATAGAAAGTCATAGACCACTGCAGTTCTTAATAGCACTTCCCATCTGAGACATAATTGATTTTCCACACCTAACTCTCAAAAGCCACATTTATGTGAATACTTTGGTATTACTCGCAGAGATACCAAGTTAAATGCCACTCTGTGCTCATCATGGTCAACAGCAGCTTTCAGTTTTTACCAGAAGTTCAAACTCTGTATCATTCCAGACTTTTTCTACCTTTACAGATTTGCTTCTTCCTTTCTTGTAGGCTGGGGCTGACCTGGGAGTATATCCTCAGCTGAGAAAACGATTCTAGACAGCCTGTAACAGAAGCGCTGTAGTGCTGTTTGGAGTCAATGGATGGGTGGGGCTCGCAAATTTTAAAAACGTGCTTCCTATTGTCTAGAAATAGTGCTTGTTCTTTCCTGTAAGGGGCTTAGCTTCAAGATGGGCTACCTGAAGCCCTGAGCTTTATAGCAATATATTAAGAAGTGTGTTTCTGAAGAACAGAAGATGTAGCTCAGTGGTAGAGCACATGCTGCATATAAAGCATCTCAGGTTGGATCCTGACATCCCCAGGTAAGGTTGGAATAATTCTGATCTGGAACCCTAGAGACCTGCCGCCAGTTTGCGTCAATAATACACTAGATGGACCCATGATCTGACTCAGTATAAGGTGGCTTGATATGTTCCCAAAAGTGAAAAAAGGTGTTCTCCTCTCCTCTTGACCCTCCCTTACTCCAAACAGGAAGAATCTTCCTTTGTTTTTTTTTCACTTTGTGGCATATATTCCCCTAGCCATAATTCCCCCTGCAGGTTATTTTGTCTTTAGGGATGCTCACCTTCCAAGTTCACTTCCAAATTGATAGGCATAAGATCACCCTATTTTGCTATCACAGGGAATGATGACTACTCCTCTGGAATTTGTCGCTTAACTTAATAAACTTCCAACCAAGTGGTCTACTGTTCCAAGGTATTCTAAATTTATCATTTCTCACAGCTGGAGTATGGCTATCAACATCTTCAGCATAAACAGGGAAGCTAAGCCCTATTTAATTAGAATGAAGGATTCCTTTCTTACTAAATAATCAAAGAATTATATATAGCAAAAGCAACAGATACTCACCATAAGTGCAAATCATCTTACTAGCCTCCCTGAAGAGGAGAATCCCATTAGGAGATGACACATCAAAATTTAAACGCTGTGATCTGGTGGGGAAAAGCAGCAGCAGCACATCATTAAATGAACCAATCAAAGAAACATTTATCATATACATTAATACCAAACTCAAGGGCTGAGTTATGTTAGCTATGTGGCAAAAACACAGTACTGAGAAAAACGAGGAATGTATCGGCATCCTTAAGGATGCAACAAATGCTTAACCAAAAATAAAAAACCTAATGGGCAAATAACAGTCCATCCCACACCCCTTGCACAATGAAATGGCCAGTGCAGACTGAGCACATTCAGGGGCCACAAAAAATTGAGTGTCTGTTGCGGGAGAGAAAATAAAACTGAAATGGGGGAGAGAAAATTGAAGAGTTTGTCCTCAAAGAAGGTAGCTTGTTGGCTGGCAGGAAGGATGAACTGGCACACTCCACATTGTAATTTTTTGTTACAAATTCCACTTTGAGTTTCAACTCTGGCACATTAAAACTGTCTGAGATAGGATCAAACTACTGCCCATTTAGAGGGCATTCAGGATGCCTCTAGAAAGTTACCAACTCTCTATTCTCCCCACAATACAGTGGTACCTCGGTTCACAAACACCTTGGTTTATGACCAAATCGGATCACGAACAAAAATGTCATGAAAATTTTGGCGTGAGTTGCAAACTCCACATTGGGTGGCGACCAAGATCGCAGCCATCTCCCCCCGCACCCGAGTGGGGAGATGGCCGAGATTGTGCTGGGGGTGGGGGTGGGGAAGATGGCCAGGATCACGCCCGTCTCTTCCTCCCCCCAGTGCGCCAGGATGACAGGCGCATGCAGGGAAGACGGGCGTGATCTCAGTTGTGCTGTGGGAGTGGGGAGATGGCCACACTCATGTTTGGGGAGGGGGAGATGGCAGCGATCTTTGTCATTCTTTGTCACTTTGCTTCACATTTTTCTGATTAAAAAAAAACAGTTACAGAACGGATTAACCTTATTTACACTGAACCTTATGGGGAAATTTAACTTGGTTCATGACCAATTTGGTTCACGACCACAGTCTTGGAACAGATTAGGTTTGTGAGTCAAGGTACCAGTGTAATTTGATAAATCTCTATCCTAAAGAAACTATACAACCTTAAGTACATTAGTCTTTCTTTGTCGGGAAGGTGCTTTGACTTCTTGGTATTTTTATTGCCTTTTTGAAATTTTATGATGGCCTTTTTGGGATGGGGTAACCAGAACTGTTCACAGTATTCCAAATGTTTTATATATTTATAGTTGCCAGGTCAGATCACAGTCTGGATGGGGATGGGATGCTAGAATTATACTATCAGTATTAGTCTATAAACAGGTGTGGAAATGATGTAGGAGCAGCTCAAGCCCTTCTCCTGCCAGAGTGCAAGTGTGTGGAATGTGGCCCAACAGACTCATCTCTGAAGTCTGCCTGCCCACTGGGTGCCCCCAACTCCATATATTTGGTAGGAAGGACTGCTTATAGTCATAAAAGTGGAACAATATATGGGTCAGGAAAGAACACAGAAGGGGTTGAAAGTAAGGATAAGCCTACACAGTAACCAGGAACAAACAGGAAACCTGTACAGGGATTTAAGAAGGGACATTTCATGGTCTGAGCAATGAGAAAGATGAATGCTTTTGGCAGCAGGAGAGTACTAGACACTTATATGGTACTCCTGGCCTGCAGCTCAACAGAAAAACCTCAGGAGAATGGTTGTGTTCATGCTCTTGCTTCTGAGGTTCATGTACAGGTGGCAGAATGCCTCTTCTAAGAAGCAACTCACCTTCCATATCTTTGCTAAGTATTGGCATTAAAAGATCTAAAATATATATATTCTAGATTCTAAAAACAAATGTATGAGACAAGGGGATTACTCTTAATAGAAGGAAAGCCATCATGAAGGGAGAGAAGGAAATGAATGTATCTTAGGTCTCTGTGCCCACATATACCTGCTCCCCTACAGAGATTCATACTGCTGAGGACATTTCTCTGGTTCCTTACAAGTAAATGGATCAGTAATTTGGATGGACATGCCAGGAAAAAGCTTTGAGGTTTTCAAAAAAAAAGTTAGCCGAATTTTCAGTTTTGCACCCACCAAAGCTGCAATTTTCCAAAACATTTTACAATATCTGTGTATTCTGCAAAGTACAAAATGATAACATCTGGCAGATGGAAAAAAATGGAAGCAAACCCTTGTTCTATCATAATGCACAATTTGATACCCTGTAACATATTTTCACCATGTCAAAGTGTATTGTATTATGCGTTTTAACCTGTAAAACTTAATGCAATACACAACACAGGAAAAAGCAAACCCATCCCTAAAGATGTTCTCCAACGGGAACAATACAGACTTTCTGCATACCAATAGGTAAATGAATATAATGAATATGCAAAGCAGTTCAATGAGCTCCCCCTCACTGGAGATTTAATCTAGTAGTACCTCTTTGTTCTGTTTCCCACTGTCAGTATTTATAAAGGTGTCTTTCTTTAGCTTTACTAATTTTGGAAGGACATGATATAGGCAATTATATGTTAAAATTACACTATAACTATCTGTAAAAGAAAAAAAACACCTACGTGATATAAAATACATCAGATAAAGCCATGGCAAGGACATCAATAGACTAAACCCTCATTCAGAGTTTAGCGACAGGCCTGAGTTGATTTAAATGGGAAAATATTTGACAGCTCAAATTTTTCAACTTTCAATTTCCTTTAAAGATAAAATATCTAGGTATCCAACTATGCTACTTATATCTCACTGACATCTTACCCAACTAGTTTACACATGAACTGCAAAGAAATGGTTATCCTTTTCTTTTTCAAGTCATCTCTCCAATCCTGGGTACAAATTCAGTAACTTTATTCCAAACTGCATTTCTTATCTATCATCAGCACTATGCAATCTATTAAAAAGTATAGGGGAATAATACCCAGAGAAGTCAACAGAAGGAAGAAAATACACGACAGGCACAAGAGTAACCATGCTGGATACTTCTGTCAGAATTATACAGGAAGATAAGTTCTCCTTTTCTATTTATCATGTAATTTTTTCAAGCAGGTGTACACTGGGCTCCTGTCTTGAAGGGCGGAGTGAGAATCACCATCACAAAAATCCATTAGTTACCCATTAGTTGTTATCCATTAGTTGTTCTTGGCTCTGCTTCCTATAGTGCAACTTGCCATACTCTTGGTGGTAAACAGAAGCATTCTGGAAAGGAGAACAGCAGGCTCTGTTCCTATAATGATTACAGGAATAAGGCCACTACTTCACTTTAAAAAGGGACCATCACATCGCTTCTTTTCTTAGGTGAATGCCCAGAAACAGTTATCTGCTCACACAGCAGTCCTTTACATGTTTACTCAGAAGTAGGTCACACTGTGCTTAATGAGGTTCACTTCCAAGGAAGTGCATGTAAGACTACACACGGTTCTAAGGCCCGCTGAACTCAGCTGGATTTACTTCTGAGTGAATGCGCATAGGACTGGGCTGCCAAAGAGCTTTAACAACTGAAATTGTATCTGTGAACATGGCCCTGGGCGTGGCTTTTCAGCACCACAGCTGGGTGCACATCAGGCTGTGAGCTGGTTGTACACCATGTGATTTGCCTATTACTCTTTTCACAGCATCTGAACCTGCCAAGCTGCATTGCAGGTTGGGCTTCCAAAACACCCCATGACTTGTTATAGGGTTCTGGGATGCTTTGGAAGTCAGGCCTTGGTGGCCCAACTTTACCGGGTAAAGTCCTCGGAGGCATCTCAAATGAAACTTCAACAAAAATGATGCCTGTTTTGGAGCAATTCAAAGCAGTGTTAATAAAGTTTGTATCTGTCTAGTTTGACCATACACTGCAATTCTTGCAGGGCATCTCAGATAAACAAGAGTGGGGGAACTGTACCTGTTTTGCATCATCTCGGCCATGAGCTTCAAAATAGGAGTCGTACATGCTGGTTCACGATACCAGAGCTCAACAGCTCTTTGCAGAATGGGAAGATATGATGGGTATCTTTCATAATGTAAGTTAAAGATAAAATTCAAAATGAAATAGTCAAACTTACTTTACAAATAAGATATTGGGGAAATTTTTAGTTGGCATAAATGGTCACTGAAACTGAGCACAGCTCTTTAACATACACCAACGGAGAACCAGTGAGGTGAAGTGGTTTGAGTGCTGGGCTGGGAGCTGGGTTCTAGTTCTTGCTCAGCCTTGGAGCTGAGGGGGTGACTCTGGGCCAGCCTAACACACCTCACAGGTTGCTGGAGCCATGCAAGCCACCTAGTGCTCATAAATTACCGGAAGTTAGGTGTGAGACATGAAACATCCCTATTTGCTGATGACAGCCAATTATTTAGATCAGATCACAGATTCTCCAGGGTTTGAGGCTTGGAAATCAAGCCTCAGTCACCAGAAAAGCCTGCAGTGGCTTTGCAGGCTAGTTGAGGAACCTCTGAGGGCAGTGGCTCCCCTCCCCTGCATTACAACATTTGAGGCTTTTCATCTTAGAAAAAAGGCTTTCAGGGGAATATAATAGGGACATATGAAATTATGCATGGGGTGGATAATTTTTTTTCTCATTCCCAAATAATCTTAAACCCAGGATTATCTTTCAACTGCATGTGCCTTTCATACAGTACATAGTTTAACAGTGGAATTTTGTGACCATAAGAGGCAGCGATGGTTGCAAACTCAACAAATTCAAACCATGATTATACAAACCAGTGCCTACTAACCATGATGGCTAAATATTACATCTACAGAGGCAGTATCTGCAGAGATGTATGAACAGGAGGGTCTATTGCACTAAAATCCTGCTCCTGGACTTTTTATGGGCATCTGGTTAGCCACTGTAGTCTGATCCAGCATGACTCTTACATTCCCCAGTTATGAAGCTACTGATTTGAAAGCAACTGTTAGGAAGTTCAAATGCATCAGCAGGAAATGCTATTGTCCAAGGATGCAGAGCAGTTGCATTTTGGGAGGCCTGATATGAATTGTGGGGAGCTTTGGAAGGTGCAAATGATGCCCATTCTAGGGATGGGTGATATTCTGGTGGTAAGGCTTGCTCTCCCAACACAAGGCTTCCTTTTTCCATGCATAGACAGGGAGAAATTGCTGCAAGCCAGCTCCAGCATCCTGTCCATACAGCATCCAACCTGTTGCCTGTGGAGAGCCCAGAAGTAGGGCAAAAATTGAACAGCCCCCTCCTGCTTGTGTTCCCCAACCATTAGTATGCAAAGGCAAACTGCCTCCAACACTGGAAACACCATATAGCCATCATGACCAGTAGTCACTGATAGCCTTATGCTCCGTTTACATCCATTAAAATAAACACAATTTATATTAACCCTAATAATAATCGGATCCTGTGATGTAGCCAAGGCACATGCAGTTTCTTGGCATAATTTTTAAAAATACATAAAACTTACATTGTTTACTTTAAAAAAAAACTCAGTTAATAGGACTGCATCTTGATTTTTAGGGTTGGTGGCACAGCTTTGATAAAACATTGCTTCTGTATATTTAGGAATGCTCTGTGCTCCCTGTATACCCTACTGCTGACTGTACAAGGCAAATCAACTTCCAAAATGTAACACTCGAATCAGTGACAGCTTGACATATCAATATTTCAGGGGAAATGAATGACTTTCATATTCATGATATTTTTATTTCCATATCCTATATACCTTTCCTTAGCACAATATGCCAAGAGCAGCCTATACCTTACCACCAGAAATGCCTTTAAAAGATTTGGAGATATTTTAATAAAGCGTTATGAGAGATCAAATAACAACTTTGTAACAGATTTTTCTATTATTGCACATATTTGCTCTTCATCCCTTGCCCAGAGGGAAAAACTATAAATCTTTTCTCAACTGAATGAACACCATTTATCATATTCATTTTCTTGTCAATACAATTATGAAAAGCCTTTGGCCTTTTTCCAAGGAGTCTGATTTGTTACGGAAACCCAATTAGTATAAGCAAGCCTGCTACAAACAATCCTATTTTGCTGGATAACATTACTATTCTGCTTGCTTGGCTATTCACTTCTAAACATACCCAAGAATGGTTATAATATATAAAATATAATGATTCCTAGGTCAAAGACCAAGTCAAAGATGTTATAAATTTTGCTCATGTTTGCCATCTAGTGGACAGAAGAAACAATCAAGGCTGTTTTTTCAAATCTGAAGGAAATCTAAGGAGGTTACCAGAAGTGATTCTAAGAAAACTTTTTGGTCTGATATATTCTTCATGTTCAGACAAAAAGTAGAAGTGAGCCATCTTTATACAGAACATGCATGCTATGCTTAACAACTGCTGCTTTGCCGCTTGCTTTCTTTTTATTTATTGCTGTTGAATAATTCTACATACTGATTTGATATTTCCTGTTTTTAATTTGCACACTGTAAGAAATATTTTTGAAATAAAGGAGATAAATCAGTTTTCTATGTAAATTAAATTCTAATGTTAAGAAAAGTTTAAAAAATAGAAGGGAAAGACAAAAGCCAATTTAAGCATTATTTATGAATATTAGCAACTAGATCCCCTTAAAAATGCTGAAGTCCTAAACTGCCTGAGGTGACTTCAGTGAAACACAAATCCTCCTTGGGCAGAACAGTTTGCAATAACTGACCCTAATCCTACCCTTTGAAGACCATGCTAAACTTGAGATCCAGATATCTGGTATCTCAAGTGCTCTCTAAAATGAGCTTTGTTGATTTCAGTAAGGTGGACAGCTTGGAGGATTCTAGGAAGGCATATTACTTTTTACTCTTGAGACCCACATACATTTAAACCCAACTTAGAATTCAAGCTGCTCAACCTATGCACTTCTGCTCTTTCAAATTCAGAAGCAATTATCCAACATTTGTATTTCTTGTACAGTGAAACAGAGAATCCACACAATTGGAAGAAGCCTGAAGTATTTATAAAATAATGCAACAAATCTCAGGATGACTTGCACAGTGGCATGTTAAATATCAGAAAAAAATTAAAAATGATTCTTGCAATGGATTACCTGAAGTGGAGTTCAATCTATATTTTACCTAATCAGAAGTATATCACATTGTAAATTAAAGGGCCACAGAATTATGTAACAATGGTTTAGGAGAATATTTAAAGATTAATGGAGAATAACCTCGCCCCTCCCAAAAGTGACCTCTCTGTGGTCTCTCTCCAAATGTTGCCTTCCCAAGTTAATGGCATGATTGCAACTGTACTGTAATTTTAGCTGATTACACATTAGTTCATTTAGCTTTGTTTCCTCTTCCCCACTGTGCCACACTATTAAACTAATGCAAGGGACCTGGTATCCCTCTGTGCACAGAGCCAGTATTGTCATAGTGTAATAAGGATACATCCAGTCAAACAGCATGGTGTAGCTGGTCTTTGTGTTCAGAGCAAAGGCAATCCCTCTAAGATCTCTTGCCAGTCCGATCAACATACGCTGTCAGTGGGAAAGAGACACAGTAATTGATTTTCACGTTAGCAAAGAGCAGATGGAGTAATGATCAGCCAATAATGAGCACAATATCTGATTTTAATTCATTAGTGTAAATGTCTTCCCTTGCCCCCTTAAAGAACACTGGAGCTTAAGTCTCCAACTTAAATATTAATATTAATAAAATGTTTACTGGTCTACTAAAGGTATCCATAAAAATAATAAAATTAGTTTAGCTTGACATAGTAGATATGAGATCATATAATAAATTAAAGTTCAGACAATACATTTAGGAGAACATAACTTCCATTATAAACCCTTTTTTTCAATTCCTCCCTTCTCTTTTTTTTTTAACCGGGCTTGAGGGATTTTCACTGATGTCACTTTTCCAACTTGGTCATCACTCAAAAGTAATCTGAACAAATCTCTTTAGCAGTTTCACTTGTACGTTTCAAGCATAGGTAACTGCAGAATATAAACCAGGAGCACATAACCATAAATGTTACTGAGTATATTAATATATTAAAATTCAATTCACTGAAAATATTTCATGATATAAAATTCTTTTATATTGACCCAGTAATGATTTTTATTAAACAACTGCTGAATCTGTTTAGGAGACACTTCTTAAAACCATATGCAAAGGCATTTGGGTGCCTTCAAAGCAGGATTTTTAAATAATCAATTAAACTGGCAAATTTGGCTATTTCATTTTTAGACAGCACAGGTGAACAAACAGGAGTTGACTGCTATCATAGTTAGCCTTAATACCAGAATGATAAATCTGGTATTAAGCAACAATCAAATTAAGTAAGAATTTCTGGGTTGAAGATCATAAGATACATACACTTTGCCTGTAGTACATTCAGCACAGGTAAGTGTTAATTTGAGGCATCTGTTATGCTCAACCACCCTACTGGGTCTTTAATGAGACATGTATCCAGCCTACATCACCTATGCTGGTCACATATGAAAATCTACATATGCTGAAAGTAGCAAGCCACACAAGAATGAAGAACACATTTTTTTAGTTTGCTTTTTACAGAAATCAAGCAAAACCATCACAATTATCAGTGTAATTGTTTCAATTCAGCACCAGTTGTCTGATTTCTCAGCCAGAGGGACTAAATACAAATGCAGCTGTAGAACAGCTATAGAACATAGTTGTAGCTCTCCAACTCTAGATCTTAATGTTGTTTTCCTCATCTTTGATTTGCCAATTGCACAACTCCAGAAAGACTTCTGACTGGGGGCTGTGGGGGGTGAGGAGAAGCTAGAAGAACATGCAATCACCAAAGGAAGGCACACCAAGAGCTTCCAAGTAAGAGAGAGATGACCAGACCAAATCCATTCCAAATCTCACTTGAAGTTTGATGATGCATAATTTTGATGGAAGTAAAAGTTAATTCTCAGCCATACATCTGGAATACCTTGGACAGTCTGCATATTCCAGTATGCTGAGTAAGTGTAAAGATGGTATAAATTTTAGTATCAGGCCACTGGATAATAGATTTGTTTTTGCCAAATTTCTAGTCTTTATGACTGTGAAAATATGCTTGGAAGTCATTTGGCCAACACCTTCGGAAATTCTGAAAGCTTAGGTGGGAGGGCAGCAACAATAGGATACCCGCTGAGGAGGAGTCCATCCACATTCTATGTAATATCTGCTTTTCCTCAAGACAACTGGAACCAGAATAAAGCAAAGCAATCAAATACAAGTAAATGTGCTTAATTTGCACAAGTCATACAGGTTGTTAAAAAAATCACACTCTCTTGGCACAGAATTTTTTTATTTGTTTCTAATACTGTGCTCAGAGCACAATGTTCACATTGTCTTGGGATGACTGTAGTTGTAGTCTAACATGTTTAGAAGGCATCAAGTTGGCAAAGCTGACCTACAGCCTAAGGATATGTGACTACCAAACACTCGGTTCCTAGATACATTGCTATAAGGAGTTGCTGTTTCATACACAAAAATTAACCTGATTTTGCCTGGTATTTCTACAACTTTACCAACTACATTAAGCTACTCTTCTTTAACCAGCAACACCCATTCAATATAAGTAACACAGTGAAGGTTTTGTGGGAGCAAGGCATGTTCAACTACGAGCATTTATCATCTAAAAGAAACAATGAATAATTGCATTGCTTTTTGAGT